TATATATATATATATATATATATATATATATTTGTCTTAAAATGGCCTTTCAATCATAATTTGAGGGAAAAATGGCCCTTTTATAATTTTTCATAGTGTAAAGTGAATTTTTTTGGGCAAAATTAAGAGTTGTGGGAGCAAAAAAAAAAAATCCTTGTGTAAAATATTATTGGGTCGGACTTATTTACAAAAACCCGAATCCGCGGCCAAGCCTTTTGGGCTTCTCCGCCCATGAACAGGACTAATTTATGGGGCCTGTCGACTTGGCCCAGTCAGTCCTAAAGGGCTTCGAGCCATCTCAGAACCCGGTCGACTCTCCGGTGCAATTGCTTTGTTTCGAGTCTTTTGACAACTGAGCCCTTTCTCCATAAGTGAGTGGGAACTTTTTTGCTAGGGTTTTGAGCGCTGCTTGCGAGTTAGGCCTTCGAGGGTTTTAGAGATCGCGGAGACTGGTAAAGACTCTATCTCTCTCCTGGATTCACGATGAGCAGATCAGGCCAGCCTCCGGATTTGAAGAAGTATGTAATGGATATTCTCTCCTCCTCTTCTTTTCTCTTATATTGTTCCAACGATTAATTTGTTTTTTTCTCTTTTTCTGTAATGGAACAGGTACATGGACAAGAAGCTTCAGAGTAAGTTTTTGATTTCAATGTAGTCTTTATTTGTAGTTTCACCTGCCTTTGAACAATCTGTTGTTCTTTGTCTTTTCAAATTTGTAAGGTTAAGGATTTTTTCCACCAAAAAAATAAAATTGTAAGGTTAGGGATTTTCGTTATGTTGTTGATACTTGGATGAATTGCTTTGAACTGAAAGCTGAAAATTTGCATTTTTTTCTCTTTTTTTGTTGTAGTATGAACAAGAGGTGAGATGGCTGGGTTGTTTTCTAACTTAACACGGAACACCCATTTGCATCTGTTGGAGCTTCTCAAGTAGCATTTTAGCCATGATTAACATTGTGTAATGTGGTTCTGATGAAGATCCGTGGAATTATATGTGTTCTTTATGTGTTAGTCGTGACTCCCTGACTTACTGATTAACATGAGTGTTTTCTCCGATGAAATCCAAACTGCTTAGTCAATTCTCCCAGTTACTATTGCCCTTTTTTGTGTTTTCAGGGGGGCGGGGGGACTGGGGAAGGGAGGGTTGCTAAATGCTGCACTTCTCCCAACCCCTCTCTGAAAAATCTTTATTTAGGAATGTTCGCATGTACATGCATATGATTTCAAAGGTACATTGGAAGTATGAACTTGTCCATATTAGCAACTACTTTGATATTAAACCTGCTAAATGAAGTTGAATTAAATAAATGCTGTTTGATGTTATTTATCAAAAAAAAAAAATGCTTTTTGATGTTTCTAGGTTTTGTCCTCTTGGTGTTGTCTATGGCCCGGATATCCATATTTTTGTTTTCTAAACAAAAGCATAATGATTTTCACTAAGGTTCCATTTATTTCAATGTAAAGTAGGTAGGAATAGTATTCAACTTGTAAAAATGTCATTTTTATCGTTGCCTGTTTTATTCAAAACTTTGCTTCCAACCCCCCCTTTACATGGAAACAAATGCAGCCTAAATAACAAAATCGGAGTGAAAGAGATACAAAACAGTCCATTACAAGTCAGTAATCACTATGCTGAAGAGCCAATAACTAATATCAAATAGAATTGTTTTCTACTTTTCTATGCATACAGTGAATCACACTGAATGTAAGACGAGTGATTTATGTCTCTGAATTATGTGTTGTCATTGGGAAGTAAGCCATGCTGATTGTCCATAACAGCACCCTGTTATCCAAAATATGGCAAGGGGGAGATGCTGCAGTAGGCTTTCCTATGCTTACTGAGTCCTTACAACTGCCAGCATTCACATAGTACTGGGAAAGCACCAATGAACCCCAAAAATTTTCAAAGTATGAGGCCAAGGAAACTGAAGTTATATCATTGTCATGGGTAAATGGTTTGTTGTTGTAGTGAGTAGTGACTTGCAAGACATAATATGCAAAACATCCATTTCCCTTCCAACAAGGTTATTGATGATGAGGTATTTCCCAACAAAACAGTACAGACAACAAAAGCAACTGCCGCTGCAGGATGTCCATATATGTCTGATAGGAAAAGGGATCTAAAAGGTTCACTGAGCCAAACTGTCAAATCATCAATCGAACAGCTCTGAACTTTTGAAAAAAGACAACTATAGAATCTGGTTTACAATGTTTAAGGGTTAAATCGACCCAGGGGGGCAGTTTGAAAATCATCTTTAAAGCTGTTTGATCCAAGGTGGATCAACTTCTGGTTAAGACTTAGTAATTTGAAGTGCAATTTCAAAGTTATGGATGACTAGGCTAAGTTACACCCACTGTTAGGTAGGGCATCCAGATGAGCGCTGTATCATGTCAGGCCTTAAAAGAATTAAGTAACATCATATTACACCTTATGAGTAAGCGGTATAATCTAAAGTTAGAGTTGTTGTTTTTACTTGTGTTGGATGCTTGCTTTGACTTATCTAAGCTAATTCTGTAGACTGTTAAGTATTCTTAAGCACTGCTGCTCTTTATCAAGGCACCAAGGATAGTATATTGAAGTGCAATGTCAAGACTGTTTTGACCGTTACATGTTTATCTATGTATGTAGTCAAACGAACATTGCATTATGATGAAGGTCAAAAGAGTCGTGCAATGTCATGTTAGAACTTGTGATTTTGTTCTCCTGTTAGATCATTTAATCTAACATTGGAGTTGTGCCTTTTTTGTGTTTGATGCTTGCAGTGGTTTACCATGTGTTTATTGTTTGTCACTATTGTTTCCTCAACTGGACAAATGGACGAGTCTATACAGGGTTAAATGGCCATTTGATATGAATAGATTTTTTGCTGCCCACAAACCTGTCTTGTTTGTCTGAAACTCTGAATTGCACAATTTTGAGACTAGATTCATTTCCAGAGGGTCTGTGATGGCATATTATCATCTTTATTCATGCATTTTTGTGGCAGTAGACAGTTATTGATTTTGATGATAATTCTAGGACTGTAGATACCAGACCTGCACTAATTCTTCTTTCTTGCAGTCAAGCTGAATGCAAATAGAGTTGTGGTTGGGACTCTCCGTGGATTTGATCAGTTTATGAATCTGGTGGTTGACAACACAGTAGAAGCAAATGGAAATGAGAAAAACGACATAGGGATGGTGGTGGGTTCTGGATGTTTCATCTTTTTGTAGGATTTTTCCCCACTACGACTACTTAACATTGTTTAACTTAGCCCAGCTAATTGGCATGATTTTTTTCTCTGCAGGTCATCAGGGGAAACAGTGTGGTGATGATTGAAGCTCTTGAGCCTGTTAACAAAACCCAGTAGTGTAATTCACCATGGCTACTGCTACAGTAGCATATCAATTGAGAACATTTTCTATTGCATGGAGCTGGTGGCATCTGATTTAACATATTTTGTAATGAAGGATTAAATGGAAGCTTTATGACTTGAATGTGATAGAGATAATTTCTTTGTGGGTACAGTATGTATATCCTTCAACGTAGATATTCTAGATGAATGTTGTACTGGAAAATAGAAATCTGGAATTACCCATATGCAGACGTGAGAGAACAAGAATTTGTTATAGTGGCTAAGCAATATCAACCAAGGAACCGAACTAGACCCAATAGGATCTGTCAATGGGTCGGGTCCGACCCGATATACCCAAACGGTTTGAGCTGGTTGTTCCAGGAACTGGTATTGATGGGTTGGTTCTGGTTTCTGATATATTGTCTCAATTATTATTGGTTCGAAACTGGTTTTATCAAGCCTTAAATTTGTAATATTTTCCAGAGGAATAATTGGGACGATGGTTTCSAACTTCTTACTAGCAATATCTATTAGATATGAATTTTCTAGCATTTGACTCCTTACCAGTGAAGGATTTAGTCGTACACTTGAAAGATAACCCARAAAATCGAGGGAATGATTGGATAATTGGTTTATATGGATCCTGCCDGGTTGAGACCACAAGTAAAAATGACATTGCCAGAAATTTACAAGGTGATATTTCCATTTATACATCAAAAGAGGAGTTGGATTTTGTTTATTTTAATTGGATCCATTGAGTCAGATCCAATTGTCCCAATAACCAATTGGCAAGGTTCAAAATATCGGTGCTGGTTGGGTATATTAGCCTATATTGAGGCTCAATTCTTTTTTTCTTAGTTTCTTTTTTTAAACCTGGTTTAGAAGGGTTGGTTTAAGGCCTGTCTACCCCCTGAACCAGGTTAAACCCCAAAATACCCCCTGTAGGGGCGTATCAAGAAGCCCCCAATACATATCGAAAATTTAAACCTTGTCAATCGGTTTTGTTTTGTGTCTAAAATTACAGTTCCTATTGGGTTTAGTTTGGTTTTGGTTCCTTAATTTTTCTTGTTGGGCCATTTCTGATTCCAGCCAGACACAACCCATTGACAGCCCTGAGAACATCTCCATACCTGTATGTTTTCATTCATGTGGACCACAGGTGCCCCACATGCATGTATCAGTGTGCATTGGGGGACATCTCTCATGCTTGTCATTAGTCCGGGAGTTGTTCCTAATACACAATTGGGATGTATTGTGGGGCACATGTGGGGCGCATATGTGAATTTTTTGGGGGAAAATTGCCAATATTTGGGTGAGACAAAATTAATGACATGACTAAAACAGTCATCATCTTATTTAATTCAGAAATAAAAAAAAAATACAGGTAAATGCATTGCATAGTTACCGGATAAATAACTTACCAAAAAACGAATGGGGACTAAGTGTTAAACCTTGAGAGAAATATTAAAAATTCCTTTGTGGGATTTTGAATATAATATAAAAAATGCCTTGCTTATGAGTGAGTCACCTGGTTTTTTAACATAACATAGAAGATTTCTTCAGAGCAAGCACTGACTTTCTCTAATTTTATTAAGTAACCAGAAATTCATGTGACTATCTGTTTTAATTATTTTAGTTATCATATTTTACATCATCTATGGGTTTTCCCAAATCATAAAAGGCTATATCTATAATCTACAAGAAAACAGAGTCTGTGCTAATTTAAGTCTCAGATTGTATTAATTGTAATGTAAGTCCATAAATATGATAAAATTAAATCTTTCTTTCTCTTCAATGAGCCACATTGGATGGTTTAGTTCATGGTTTGACAGAAGAAAAAAAGAATGAGCATCTGACCCGTCATGGAAGAATGTTAATACAATTATTTTATTTTATTTTATTATCTATACTATATTTTAAAAAGCAGTTGTCCACATCAGATTTCCTGTATTGCTTCCCAGTTCCCAACCCTTTTAGAATTTTTTTTTTTTTTTGTATTTTGAATTAAAAATTTAAATATGAAGCTATTTAAGTTCACTCAGAACCAATTCAGCTAAGAACATATTTTTAACACGGGTCTCTTCTTGTTAATCTAATTTCTAAGTTGCTTAATATGATCTTAAAAATTAAAACTCTTTTATAAACATGGGAAGCGGATTAGTAAACAAAATAAATTGACACCCACTGTTAGAAAAACACTACCCTTGACTTGTCTGACAAAAAACACTTTCCTTTTGATTGAAAAAAAAAATGCTGTTCAAAATCACATACACTTCAAACAGCCCCTTAATTTTCAATGAGGGTACCCTCATGCGGGGTCTTAAATTTGAACCATTCGGCTTACATTAGGGAAGATTGAGACCTGCACAAGTTAACCAAAAAAACTGGTCAGGATGAATCCTCGGCCCAACACAGAGAAATCAGGTCAAATTCTCATCTATGAGCTTCGAGGCACAGCCTAAATCTCAAGCCCATGGACGAATTTTACCCAAAAAAAGTCCATGGACATATCCCAGCCCAATTACCCATAGCTCATAACCATAAGACTGGGCCTTGGGCCCCTACTTTTCTTGCCCTCACAGGTTGGCATTTCAGAGATAAGAAGGAAATTGTGAGGACAAGAAGTGAAAAAATGGGAAGAAACCAGATACACGATTACACGTAGAGATATGGGAAGAAGAAGCTCAAGGAGGCCAACCAGAACCATCAGCCATGGCCTCAACCGTGCCTCTCTCCATCCCAAGCTCTCCTCCGAGTCCGAGCTCTAGCAAATTCCATCACAACCAGAGCCAATTATCTTCAAGCTCAACAATCTCAGCACTTCCCACCAAAACCCAACCACAAGAGAAACAAGTGCTGCCTTCCAATCTCAATGGAAACTCTCAGCTTCTTCTACAGCACCAAAGCTCTTTAAACCCAAAACAGAAAACCCCCACACTTCGGTCCCGTCTCAGCCAATTATGTCAGGAAGGCCGACTGGAGCTCGCTCGCCGCCTCTTCGACGCCGTTCCCCGACCCACCACCGTTCTTTGGAACACAATCATAATTGGGTTCATCTGCAATGGCATGCCGGAGGAAGCCCTCCGGTTCTATGTCCGGATGAAGAACACACGCGCCACAAGGTCTGATTCTTATACGTATTCTTCCGCGCTTAAAGCGTGTGCCGAAACCAAGCAATTGAAGTTCGGCAGAGCTGTACATTGTCAGATTCTTCGCTCTCATTCTAATCCCAGCGTAATTGTTAATAATTCGCTTTTGAATATGTACGCTAATTGTTTGAGCCCACCTATTGATAACTCGGCGGAACATACGGGTCAGGGGGTCGTGGAATTTTACAAGCTCGACTTAGTACAGAAGTTGTTTGATAGAATGCGTAAGAGAAACGTAGTGGCGTGGAATACCTTCATTGCATGGTATGTTAAAACGGGACGGTATGTTGAAGCTATAAGGCAATTTAAGCTGATGTTGAAAATGGGAATAAAACCAACTGTTGTTAGTTTCATTAATGTCTTCCCTGCAGTAGCAGGGATTGGAGATAAAAAGAACTCTGATGTTCTCTATGGTTCACTTGTTAAAATGGGTAATGGGTATGTTGATGATCTGTTTGCTGTTAGTTCAGCAATTTTCATGTATTCAGAGCTTGCTGACATGAATTCTGCAAGGCGGGTTTTTGATTTGTCTATAGAGAAAAACACAGAAGTTTGGAACACTATGATTGACGGGTATGTTCAGAATGATTATCCCCTTGAAGGCCTCAATCTTTTCCTTCAGGTTTTAGAGATGGATCAGATTGTGCCTGATAGTGTAACTTTTCTCTCTGCTCTTACAGCAGCATCGCAATTGCAACGGCTTGATTTTGGGCAACAGATTCATGCTTTTGTGATTAAGAATTCAATGGCACATTCTATTATTATTTCAAATGCATTAATTGTTATGTATTCAAGGTGTGATTCCATTGAATCTGCCTTCAAAGTCTTTGAGAAGATGTCAGAGAAGAGAGATCTTGTTTCGTGGAATACCATGGTTTCTTCTTTTGTACAGAATGGGTTTGATGATGAAGGATTGACACTGGTATATGAGATGCAGAAGCAAGGGTTCCTGATTGATTATATAACTGCAACAGCTTTGCTTTCAGCAGCATCAAATGTCAAGAATGGAGAAATTGGAAAGCAGACTCATGCTTACCTCTTCAGACATGGGATTCAATTCGAAGGAATGGACAGTTACCTGATAGATATGTATGCCAAGTCGGGTCTGATCAACAATGCAAAACGCCTTTTTGAGTATAATGATGACACTAGAAATAGGGATCAAGTCACATGGAATGCCATGATCTCAGGTTATGTGCAGAATGGGTACATCGAGCTTGGTATTACTGTGCTCCGGCAGATGCTCAAGCAAAATGAGATACCTAATGCTGTTACAATTGCATCAATCCTTCCTGCTTGTAATTTAATAGGAGGAATCAGTCTGGGAAGGCAGCTCCATGGATTTGCCTTCCGCCACTTAGTGGACCAAAATGTATTTGTTGGCACTGCTCTTATAGACATGTATTCAAAATGTGGCGCCATTGATTATGCTGAAAAAGTGTTTGCTAGCCTACATGAGAAAAATTCAGTCACATGCACTACCATGATACTAGGCTATGGCCAACATGGACTGGGTTCAAAAGCTCTTTCTCTGTTTCAGTCAATGTGTCACTCTGGCATGAAACCTGATGCAATCACTTTTGTTGCAATTTTGTCAGCATGCAGTTATGCAGGCTTTGTTGATGAAGGTCTCCAGATATTTGAATCAATGGAGAGGGAGCATATGATTCAGCCTACAACTGAACACTATTGTTGTTTTGTTGACATGTTAGGGAGGGCAGGAAGAGTGGAGGAAGCTTACGAGTTTGTCAAGGAACTAGGAAATGAGGGTAACGTGATCGGAATTTGGGGGTCACTTCTAGGAGCTTGTAGGATTCATGGAAAATTTGAATTGGGCAAAGTAATTGCTGCAAAGCTGCTTGAAATGGAGAAAGAGAATGGCATGGCTGGCTATCATGTTTTGTTGTCAAATATATATGCTGAGGAGGGGAAGTGGGAGGATGTTGATGAAGTGCGGAAGAGTATGAAAGAGAAGGGTTTGAGGAAGGAGGCTGGTTGCAGTTGGATTGAGGTTGGTGGTGTTGTGAACAGGTTCATGTCTAGGGATCAAAATCACTCTCAGTCTGGTGCTATATATGCAAAGTTGGAAGAATTGTCTGAGGAGATGAAGATTGCTGGTTATAGACCTTCTCTCATTTGTAATATGGGCAGTATTTCTGAATCTGATGACTGAACCAAGGGCGTATTGGTAAATTTTGATGGCAATTGCAATAACAGATGGGAATAATTAAATTCTTGGTTTAATGAGCTACAGGATGATGACCTCTACCAGATGGATTGGTAATGGATAGTATGAGTTTGAGCATCGGGTTTGAGCTGGTATCGTATGTTGGTTGTCATACATGCAGGATGGTTGATCCAACTCAGGTTTCTGCAGGCTAATGGCTATATCAATGGCTATCGTTTTTTAGAAGGGGAAGTTAGACAAATCCGTTTCCACAATTCACTTAGTGACCGACCATTGCAGGTTGTTGTACATGATAGATGGTTGATCAAACATGGAAGGGGAGGAAATGGACTTATTGTTGAAGCTAGTCCATGTGGATGGTCTACTCTGCAATAAGTTATCTAGCATTGGACAGCAATGTCTGAATGCTTCTTAGCAGTGAGGTGGGGTCTGCAACTATTGACACTTAACTGGCAATGCTATGACCTAAAGCACTATTTTGTTTAGCTGTGTTGTCATCACACAGTCCAGTTTTTGTATTGTGATAATGTGCAAGTACCAATTTGAGGGTAACCATTGCCCAATGCTACAAATGTGATTAATTATTTACAACGGTTGGGTTGCTCCATTGTGACCTGGGTGATCAGGGTACAAATCATGGAAACAGCCTCTGTGTATCTATAGGGGTAAGGCTGCTTACATTTGTCCTTCCCCAGACTCCGCCTGCATTGACGGGAGCATTTTACACACTGGGTTGCCCTTATATGCTAGATAACTTCATCAAATTGTAAAGCTGTAATTTTGCTAAAGTGCTTCTCCCTTTTGGTCGAAAGTCATTTTATTTATGGATACCATATAGAAAGGAGCTTTTAGGCTTTTTTAGTTTTTAATGATCACGCCTAAAAATTGGGTCGATTCCTAATTTCCAGAATTTTCATAGTTCAGTGTAGGCACTTGGGGAAATGTCCCCTCACGGCCAGGGATCAACTCCTCCCTCAACCAAGAAAATTTAACCAACTTTTCTTGGCCAACACCAATCTAAATTGAACCAAAGACTTTCTTATCCCATTCCAAAGATTATCAATGGTTAGTCAGCCTATTCTAAGGTTTAATATGATTAGATTTGAGCCCATAGCTAATGCACATGTATAGTAGACATTCGAATGACTTTCTTGTGCATATGCCTTGTTCTTTTTCAGAAATACTAAACAAATCATGAATTTTTTTGAGTAGCTTTAATCATGTTCTCTTGCAAACCAACTGAATGATACACACTAACATGAAAATGCTTAAGCTCCAGCTTTGACTATAAGAACTTAAAACACATAATTAGCTTTAATATTCCAGGTGTGTCTGTAATCAATAAAACACATTTGACATTGACCCATAGTCGATATGGTTGGGTTTAAAAGAATTTATGTATGTATTTTTATATATTCATCTCTTCTTGGGTTTTATAGTTCAAATTAAGAGTAGAATTTATTGAAAATATGTACAAGTTTCATTTACAACTCTAAAAGTACATATTTTATACATGCACACATGTATATATAATTAGAAAAAAGAATATATTTTATATAAATATAAATATATATACATAAGGTCTCAACCCAAGTTTAGTCAGGCATGATTTTCTTTTTTTTTTTTTTGACCCAGGCCCAACCTGCAACCCTAAAATTCAAGCCCAACAAAATAGAAAAAAAGGGGGGCACTAGGGCCCATTCCCCACATATTGTATTAAATGGAGATCGTATAACGCCTTGCAATACCAAAAATTGCCCCTATCTCATGTGCTTTTAATTCTAGTATACAGTACACCATCTCTCTCTCTCTCTCCCTGTCTATAGAGAGTGGTTCGCAATCCCTAAATACAGAGGACGTTCTAAGAATAAGGGAACCTGGAACTGTTCTTCATTCCCACAAATTTCAGCACACAATAATTTGATGATTCTTTTGAGGTTTATTTCATCTGGTTGGTATGATATTTTCCTTATCTTGTTTTATCTGATTTCTATTTTCCATTAAATTCTTTATATTATTTCATTTTTATTTCTTTGTTTTCTTTTCTAGGTTAGCATATATTTTCAGTACTTTAGCTCACAAAGTTGAAGGGAAGCAGGGGAAAAAATGAAGTATTTATTTTCCTTCTCTTGTGTGCTTGCATGTGATTTTTCTCTTGATTCTCATCCACTTCTTCTATTTCTTGGATAATGAGTAATGCAGAAAGTATGGAGTGATATGTTTCCCATTTTCCAATCTTCGTAGACATTTCATTCATTTCTCTCTTTTAATCTTTGATTACAGCAACTATAGCTTCTTCATTCTAGTTGTCCTCATCTCAAGCCCCAACCAAAGATAACTCTTTTCTTTATTGAAAAGGTAATTATAGAACACATTCTTTGCATTAACTAGTTGTATGTTCCCATAATGAAACAACAATTTGGTAAAAGGTTTTGTAGATGTAACCATTCCCCGACATTTAAGTTATGTTCCTGATATTAGAAAATTAAATGTATACATCACAATGCAATAGCTTGCTTTTTTTATTGCTCAGCTTTCCTATGACGAATATGAATAAAATATAATCTAGGTTTCCTCTTTCCTCTAATTGTAATTTAATTTTTTATTTATTTATTCAAGCTTTTCATTTTTAAATTAGAACCACCATGAATATACAAAGCCAATGAAGCTACATGCAAATGGATCTTCTATATGTTTGTTTTAGTCCTATAGGTTGGGGAGCTCCTACAAAGCTGAACTTCATTTCATGATACAAGAACTTAAAGTGGCTAGAAATGTCATATTTGAGAGGATGTAAATAGAAGGGGATTCACATGCATAATTCTAAAATGAATATTACCAAAATACCACTATACCATCATAAGTCTTATCATAGCCAAAATTCTTTATTGGCTACCATAATTTTATGAAGCTATTTGATTGGTCAAATCCCCATACTAGTTAATTGAATTAACTAGTTGCAACTAATAAAAAAATACTAAAGATAACATAAAGGTTGCAAACTAACAATATTTTGAGAAGAAGAAAGTGGGATATCAAAGATTGAAATGGCTGCACATTCTGTAATTTACAATAGAAAGGATGTTTTAACAAAGGGTCATAAGGCTAAAACTTGCTAAAATTTACATCAAAAAATGTAATCCAACATTCAAGATCACTAGGGTAAAAATCCTACTATTAGTTTACCTATAAAAAAATCTTGTTATAAGTTATAATAGAATACAAATACATCTTGGAAAAGCCTTTAAGACAAACCTTTGTTATGGCATATGGTAGAAAACATAAACAACTAAAATAAATAATGGATACTTATAAAAAAAAACAGAATAAATATTGGAGTTGATGATATTCAAGTAAGATTTTTTGTAAGAATCTAAGGTCATCTAATGACAAAGCAAAGTGACAACAGGGGGTAAGTTATGGGGTTGAAATGTGTTGAAATGGACTCAAAGAGAAGTGCTCAATGTGTTAATTTCCAATTTATCTCTAAATTCAAAAAATTGGACTAATATAATGGAAGAGACAATAAACTGCCAAAACATACATTAGTCCAAATTCTTGAAGGTAGGAATTATTTGACCCAACACTTTAGCTTTGTAAAGATTTGAGAGGAAAAATCTAAAAACTAAAACTATCAATAACAAAAAAAGAAGAAAATCTACCATGTAAACTCAATGATTTGGCCTAAGTATTAATCCCAGTCTAATAGGAAACTTATGTTGCAAATCATATGTGGTAGATTATTCACCTCTAGAACCCAGACTCGAAAATCATCCTTGGAAAACACCAGGTGAGGTTGAAATTCTTATAGAAATATGAGTAAAGCTCTCTCACTACTTTGTAGTACAAGAATAGGTTGGTTGTCGTTTCCCTATCACACGTACATAATACATAGTTTTTATATTGTAAGGGTACACCTCTTTTAAGCAAGTATCTTTGGTCAAACATTTGCCTAGAATAGTAGTCCATAATAGAAATGCAGCTTACCTGAGGTAATCACATTGCTAATTAAGGGAGACTTGAGTTCTGAACATTACAAATCTTGTAGAAAGATGTAACAAATCCACTTTACAAATCAGTCCCTCTATACCACTCTTTATTCTTGAATCAATTGGTTCATTAGTAATTAATACTCTATCTAATATTTGTCTTTTGTGGACAAAAGTCCCTTGGGAAGATGAGAAAATTGTTCCAATTGGACAACAAATTTGCAAGTATTTTGCAAAAGCTTCCAACTAAGAATAGCACCACCTCTTTCAATTTTCTCCAGTCATATATTTGACTTTATTTTTTTTTTCTTTTTCTTTTTTGCTTCATGGGACTACACAATAAGGGGTAGCCCATCCCTATCCCCTATTTTCTTTAAATACATGTATAATAAAGTAATACTAGTAGAAAGGCCCATGCTAAGCACAGGCAAAAAAGATAAAGAGAAAACTAAACAAGAATTATGGGCAGTACCTTCTTCATATAGGTGAAAGTTCGGTGCTTAGCACAAGACAACAAAGAGTATTGAATTAATCTAAGAAAACAAATTTATAAGAGTATTCCATTTCAACCACAGAGAAAAAAAAATAATAAAAATGATTGTTATGTCTTTTTCATAAAGAGTATAGAAAGTTAAAGAAAGTGTAGGTAGGGTAAGGCTTACGGAGGAGTGGTCTCTTTGAAAAACAGAGAAAGGCTAGAAATTAGGGCGAGAGTGGATTTCAAACTAGGGTGTTGGGTTTGAGGAGTAGAGTTGGGAGTCTAAGGCTAAGGGTGCTCGAGTGCTGAATGAATTTCAATACGAAGAGGATCTCTACTTATGGAGGAGATCTCGATATCCTAAAAGGTAGGAGATGAAGATGCTCATCTCTTATTAGGAAAGGGGATATTGTGTTTACTGTCAATCATTAAGTGCATCATTGGGGTTTCGCCATGTGTCTTGTGGGGATCTTTCTGAGGGAAGTCTTTTCTTTCACTCAGGAGCCCTTATTACTCACATGTGCTACCACCTCTTGTGTGCCTTATTTGATCGACGTGGCGCTAGTGACGTCACCGCCCGGTGGGCGATGTCTCGTTAGTCCTACGTGGCGTTTCGCCACGTTCCTTAACGAGTCATGGGTTTATCGCGGGTCTGAGCATGTCCAGACCTCACTGCGGGTTCGACCCAAGTTTCCCTTGGCTCAGGCTATGAATGGGCTCGTCGAGGGCATGCGATAAACCACGGGTTTATCGTGGTTCTACGATGCATGCTATGAGTTCATCGTAGGCTTGTGGTGCATCGGGGATTTATCACAGCAGGAAGACTGGTTGTAGGCTGTTCGTATGCAACCACGTGGTATCAATTTAGTCTTTAATGTTCTCTGAGGGTTTGAGTGGGCATTATATACCTATAGAGAGTATCATTGTTCCTGAAAAAAGAAAGAGTATCATTGGACTTGAAAGAAATAGTGGTCATTGTAGTGGAAATCATCATTAATTCCGCTTTTGAGAGTGACTACTCTCTCCAAAAATTGCTTTTCTTTTTCCACCCGAAATATAAGAAATAATTAATGAGAAATTGCATTTATGTTGCAATGATAATGTTTTCTGAAAGGGTGATTGAATGTTGAATGACTTTTCAGCTGGGTACCAAGCGAGAAAACTACAGGGCGCGCTAGCGCACGTAGGCAAACAAGCAACAAACTGAGCGCTGATGCGTGAAAGCCATTGCTCTAACAACAAGAAAATGGATGCGCGTTAGCGCAACTCCATGAGTGTTGACGCACGAAAGCCGTTGCGCTAACGCGCATCCAGCAAGCAACGGCGCCGCTCGATCTAGCGCGCTAGTGCGCGCATTTGTTTTTCAGCTAGGTGGGACTACCTTATGATTTTTGTGTGTTTGTTTCAATTACAGGAATTGGCTCCCTAATGGTAAGTGCAGTTGAAATAAAAAATATTAATAAATATTTGATTTGTAAAAAAAAGCAAGAAGCAAAGTAAAATGAGGAGAGAATAGGAAGAAGAAAGAAATTCTCTAATGTAGATAGGCATTCCAAGTGTAGAACTTGATGAAGCAATAAGACTTTTAAGCACAAAAAATAGGAAATAAGTATAAACATGCACTTAAATATATTTAAATGTACTACCTTGTTGTGTGTGCTTACTTAGAGGAATTTGCATCTTGTTAATTTCTTGAAAAAGTTGTAAACTTTCTTTAGCCCAATCAACATTAATTATAAAATTAATAACAGAAGAGCTTTGTCTTGGTGGTTCAACAATGAAAGTGTAGGGTTTCCGAAGGCATTCATGAGTCAATTGATTTAAGGCTTCAACTGGGTTTTCTTGTGAAAAATATATTAATAAAATAAATTACTTATCATAAGGAATTAGCTTTAAGAAAAAACAAGTGTAATTTTCTTAACTTGAGAAAGTAATTCTTTAACATGTGAAATGGGTTTCCCAAATATAAACTCAACTTGTTTGTCGAAGATAATGAACGCTCTCTTGCCACTATAGTCTTGTAGATGAATGCATACCTTATACCTGCAAATTGCTTGTACTTTTATGTTACATTATATCAAAAAATTGAGTAGGCTAATGTGATTATAATTACCTTGACAAAGTACTTGCATGGGATAAGTTACAATGATGGCAATTATAAACTTCATTAATTGGAATAACTTTTCATTTGCAAGGCATGATGCATACCAGAAGTCTTGTTCTATATCAATGTAGGCAATATATGCGGGTATCCGATATCTAATGCCATAATTCTAAATAATAAAGTGTTTAGTTATAGATATAATCATGTATAAAATTGTAATGTGCACAAATATGTTATTAGTGTTTTTATCGTACTTCAAGAGGATTGGTACCTGTGTCACTTAATTGTGAGAGAGAGTTGAATTGAGACAAATTTATTGGTTGTGCAAAGGCAACTTAATGAGAGAATGTACCAATGTTTTGATAATATCTAAGCATTCTCTAGGCATTATCATCAACTGTAATCCTATATAATTAAAACTATTGAATATGCAATGGTCTGTATTTAAAAGAATATTATAGATATTATAAATGCATTGCAGTTGTTTTATTTACTATGGAATGTTGTTACTTTTATAGATGAGGCAACAAGTATAACGAAACACTCATCAATTTGTTGTAGTTGATTTTCCTCAATTTGTGCATAAGAGTCCCAAAGTGTGACTGTGATTGGCAGCATGCTATATTATATATTAAAAAATAATTTGCAAATTAGTGTTTAGAATTATATATTAATAATTTTAGAGAACTAGAGATGTACAACTTGTCGAATAGAAGAATGTCTCTCTTCACCGAACTTGGGGAAAGGATTGTTAATGTGCTTGCATGAATGGCTAATCCAATGACATCTTGTAATAAAAAATGAGAACACAAATTAATTTATCATACATGCCTTTAAATACAAATGTAAACAAAACCGAAACAAAGGGAACTTTAGAATCATACCGATGAAAATTTTCTTACACTGATAGCTGTACAGATTTTGAAAAGGAATGAAATTGTACTTATAAAGAGATATCTCAAGTGCAGATTCTGATACTTCCACTATAGATGATTTGCTTGTAAATTGCATATGGAGGTCACCTCTAATTATTGTATACTCAGAATTTACTTGTTTCACATGCAAGTTAGTGATCGAATAAACATTGCCTTCAATAATTTTCTCTAAAAATTTCTCTAATTCTTCGATGTGCATTTTAATCTCTATATTATCACCCTACAAAGATGTTCATATGAACACGAAAATTAAAATAAAATTGAAAAGGTGTAGTTAGTATGAAAAAATAATGCAATGTTCAAAAAGCAAATCCTAGGACATTATAAGACGTGCATTGCAATCAATAAAGATCATCCTACAAATTTTTGCTATTTTGTTTCACCTTTGAAATGTATGTATCCCAAGATTTCTGATAAGCCTACCTCTAAAGTCCCAATAAGGCCTATGAGTGTAAAGGTATCGTATTGGAGTTGGCTTGAATGACATTCTATTACACCAGAAATAAACAAGATTAGTATGTTGCTACATAAGAAAAAAAAAACGAAATAAGAACAATAGTTAAAGGGAAAAACAATGAATCAACATTTATGTTATTATGATTGCCTTGGAAGCAGTTCATTTAAAACCTCTTTGTAAACAACATTCTTGGTATAACCTTGCAACTGCGGCTCTTTATTTATTGCTAAAATTTTGAGCTCTAACTTTGATGACACTCTAGATATTGCAACATATAGTTGCCTATGTTAGAAGACTAGATTTTATAAGTAAATTCCAACATGTTTCAAGGTTTGCCCCTGACTTTTCACTACAAGAAAATAGGCTTATAGCTACGGACAAAACCGTAGCTATAAAGGCAGAAAACTATAGCTATAGGTCTATAGCTACGGATTGGCTACAGTCAAGAAACAATAGCTACAGTCGCGGTGGCTATAGGCAATAGCTATGACGGACTGCATTCGTAGCTATAATTAACCTATAGCTACGGTTTGTACCTGTAGCTAAAGCCTAACTTAAATAATTACATACACATTTGTACCTACGGTTTTGAAGTTATCCGTAGCTACAGATTTGACTTTTTAGCTATGGTTGTGTGATGTCCGTAGCTACAAAATTTGCATTTATAGCCAGGGAGCAAAATTGTCCGTAGCAAAAGACATCAATCTATAGCTACGGATATTAATCGGCCATAGCTAGAAAAAAATTACCTATGGCTACAGTTGATGCTATCAGTGGCAAAAGAACAACAATCTCTAAAAAACTTTTAGCAACGGTTTTCTTTGACTGTAGCTAAAACACCTTCATCAACAGTTCTCATTGCATGTAGCGAAAAACATCCTAAATTTTTTCATTATTTATTTGAAACCTACTTTCCTGTGTTGAATGCAAGCACAACTAGTTGACAATATAAGATGGAACTTGAATTTAAAATTTCATTAAAAGGTTCTTGAATACATGAACTATATCTCAAAGTGCTTTAACATCCATGTGTTTGCTACAAATTCAATGTTCTTAAATACATGAAACTCAATCCAAAAAAAATGGCATGTAAAATTTGATCAAATGTCTCCATCCACACATGTGAAGTATCCTCCTTTACCATGTTCAACCTATAAGAAAATAATAGAAAATAAGTTAGAAATCACATTTTTGGAGATATAAAATCATATATGAAAATTTAATTAAGTATATATGGAATATAAACTCTTGCCTACTTTCCAAGCCTAATGTTAAACAAATGACAAATGTAAGGATTGAGATCAAAGACATCTTTTATGAATTTCAGATTTTCGCTAAACACAACAATGTTTATGAATTCAATGTGGGGCCCAGCTATGTTGAAGTAAATCCTTGAACTTGAAATTTTTTAGGTCATTGAACTTGAAAACTGCTATTTAATCTTGGTAGGCTGAGGCATTTGGGTCCAAATTCTATAATGATTTAATGCAAAATTAAAGAAATCTTCTTCGTTTCACATGATGTAATATTACATTCTTGGTGTGCATACAAGTTCAACATCAATGTTTTCTTCTTTTTTCTTTATCAATGACAAAGTCAATAGGATTTTTATTGATATAGAAAGATGAAAGCTCCTGCTATTTTAAGATTAACTGAAAAATATCTAGTAGCAAGAACAATTCAAGAACTATGTGAAACATAGCAAGCAACACCTTTAGCAGAATATATTTAACTAGACAAACTCTTAACTTGTTTATTGAAAGCCAGGTCATGGAGCTTCTCAACTCTCATACAGACTTCAGTCTGTTAATCCCATCTTTAGAAGGGGATTCTGAAGAGAACAATGGAACTTCACAATCATTCATACACACAAAAGAAGAGGTAAGATACTTTAGCATTGTAGAACTACAGCAAAGACATGGAGTATTTGATGAGGGAATAAATGCTAGAGCTTTTAAGAATAACATACAACAGGTGGAAGACATATTTGACCTCATAGGGTGGTTCATTAGGTTGAATAGGGAGGAAACCAAGGGAATTCCTATGGACTCAATCTTGAAAGGAGGGCCCGTTGTAGCTGATTGTTCTCAAAAAAGATAACATACTCATCATCTTTGGGTACCCCCTGAAATGGGATACAGAAAACTGAATTATGATGACTGTTGCTATTGTAATCCAGGACCAGTGGGAGAATCCAACTCATTGAGAGCATAAATGCTTCCATTTTGCAAGGTTTAAGGCTAGGCCACTCTTCCAATTACAACAATCTGGTATCTGGTTGTAGAAGTCAACTAACATGTGGTAATTTCTTAGTTCATTTCTGTAACCTTTTTTTATCAGCAAAGGTAATTTTATTAAGAAAAATGAGATGAGAAATAGTACAGAAATTGAGTAGCCTCGGATACCCCACTAAGACTTCATGGTGACACCAAGCTTTTGATCATTCATGCAGGTACTGATAATTTTGTTGATAGGTTCATAACAAAACCACACTTGCAGGTAGGAGAACCAGTGTTCTTGTTAGTCCACTTCCTGGTAGCAGGGTCAAAGTAGTTCACACCTCAGAGCCTCTCCTTCATCTTTGCCTCATCTACGCCAAACTTGGAAGCATATATCTTAGCAAAATTGGTAAGGGTGAAAGCCCATCCATGCAGACTAACAGAGAAGGCAACTGTCCCTTTCTCTGGGTAAACCTGTACGTCACCACTCACCAAGGAGAGGGTCTTCATATGTAATGTAGCCATAATCACATTAGCATTCTCAATGACTCTTTGGAAAAGTTTGATAAGCCTTAAGGAAGCACCTGTCCATCTTGTTTACAGTCAAGACAGGCCTAATCCTCTCACCAAGACGGAGGATAGTTTCAGTTTGAACACATACACCCTTAACACAATCAACCACTACCAATGCACCACCAGTAATGCGGAGAGCAGCAGTGACCTCAGCAGAGAAGTCAACATGCCCAGGAAAATCAATAAGGTTAATGAGATACTCATTCCCTTGCCTTTCTCCCTTCAAGTTCTTCAGAGAATCATCGGACCCAAATGTCTTGAACCTTCTCTATAGCCATTGCTTTGTATTGGTGGGTTTAGAACTTGTATAGGCTTCAATACAGCCCAACACTGTATAGGAGCAAAATCTCTACTTTACTTCTGCTTGTTTAATGCAGTGCATTACCTTTTTTCAAAAGAAAAATAAAATAAAATAAAGTTTAGAGTGTTCTACTTGACTGTTGAATTTTAGTCTTTGCACAATATTTCTGTACATGTAGATGAAAATATGTTGACTTTTTTGGGTCATATAAATAATCAGAAAGTAAGCATGTAAATTTTCACTTTAAGAGTTTTAGTTTGTCTGATGTGAAGCCTGACATATATGTTGACTTATCCTCTATAAGAAAAAGGGCAAAGCCAACCTTTGTTTGGTGTAAATCTATGATGTTGAAATGGTATGATACCTACTTAGAGATTTCTAGACTACTTAGAGATTGTTATCAAAGTCTCCCATTTGTCACAAAACACTAATTTGAATGGTTAGGTATTTCATTTGTCACAAAACAATAATTTGAATGGTTACATATTTCATTATTCGAAGGTATCTGTGTGCATGTGTTCTAGTGTGTGTGTGTGTGTGTGTGTGTGTGTGTGTGTGTGTGTGTGTGAGGGAGAGAGAGAGAATGTGCTGTACTACCATAATATTTTAAGAAATAGAAAACTGGATCATTGGCCACCTCTTTTATTCTCCATCCTCCTTCCATTTCCTAGTTTCATAGAAGATCCAGTAGTACCAAGATGGCAAAAAAATGGTATATGGTTTGTCCTACTCCTATACTTACAGTGTCAGCAAAAAACTAATCAGAAAGGTAAGAATTCACATTTTTGTCCTACTTTAGATATTGATATTGGTGTCTTTGTTGGGTTTTCAAAGGCTTGTGATACAAATTAAAGTCATTGGTGATTTTTCACTTTTCAGTAAAGCATTTAGAAGGTAAGAATTATGATGATTTACTTGTTCTCTATTAATTCATGCATGGACCAAATTAAGAAAGAAAGAAGGAAAGTAAGACTCACATCACGTCAAGCAAGTCCAAGGCGATTCTGTAACACCAACAGAACAAGCTTAGTTTATTTACTCTTTTGTGCAGCTTCCTAAATTTTCTACACATAGAAGCAAAATAATAGACATGAAAATTAACTCCATCAAATAGAAAGGCTCAAATAACTAACAAATTACTCTATTTAAATTACAAGATCCAAGAGGACAATTCTGCTAACCCTTTAATTCTAGAGAGGTAAGAGTGTGTTAACAAGTGTGGGGAGGTAGACAAGAAGTAGAAATCAAGTCTCACTTAACCAAGGAGTAGAAAAAGGCGAAAATCAAGTCCAACAATATGAAAGCTGCTACCATCAGCCGCTGGCAATGATCTCATGGATGGCATCACTGACTGTTTGATCTTCAAACCTAACAGCCAGCTTCATGGCAACCTACTTGGGCCCAAATTCCAAATGACAACCGGACAAGCACCTTGACATTGCCTATAAACACACCAGACAACAGGCATGTGTGTGACCTCGAATTGCTTGGTACAACTTCAGTGCCCTAACAGGGCTGCATGCCAAGAATGTCAATGACAGCACCAACAGCCTCTACCAAGCTCTCCCTTACACCAAGGCCATAATCGTCAACGCTCACAATCTGGTCCCATGATTTCCCATGCATTTCTGAAATTAGAGACCCCCACTTTCAACATATAATCTGCAGCAACAACATCAAGGCCCTCCAACTGATATTTTTTTAAGCCATGTCACTTTTTATTTTTTATCAACAACGGATCAAGGCAAGTTACAGAGAATGAGAGTATCAATATAATCATCCCCATTTCAGATAGAATGAGAACTAGCCCCTGGTGCAACTCTCCAATACCATACATCTAAGGCAATCTTCAGTTCTGGAGGGGTTAGTCCTCCACCAATTCAATTTTTATCTATTAAATCCCTGTCAAGCAAGTGAAGCACATCCCAGGCTTGCTGATCTTGACAACCAAATAAGCAAGGTGTTCAAAACTTCAAATTACTTGCCAGAGGTCTTGCTTCTAAGATATGATGTTGCAGCTACCAAGGAGCAAGGGAACCTTCCCAAGATTTTCCTATGATTACTTGTGGATTTCTTTCCAATTGGAAGGTTTTGTATCCTAAAGAGCAGCCCAACTTTAACCGATGCAATATGGAAGTTCATTCTGAATTATCATTACCTATTACTTGAAAATACCATCAAGCATATAAGCCACCACCTTTTACTTTAACAATTTTCAAATGCTTCTTAGACATTAAACAATGTATAAGCTTTGTATTTCATCTCATTTCATTACAAGGAAGTAGTTTAATTTTGAATGGGCAGTCATGCCAATCAAAATTTTACAATTTAGAATATGATTCATGATTTGAATTGTAAATGCCAAGGGCACCGTATCTAATTTTTTTTTCCTTTGAATTCTTTAATGAGAAAACTAGCTGTTATTAGGGGATTTTGTTTTAATACCTTCAAAGAGTAGAAGTCAAAACCCCAAACCCAGAAACTCAAATAAATCCCACCATTAAAGAAATACCTATCGACCATCTTTCTTTTGGAAGAAGAAAGACGGAACAACCTCACTTGACACCCCCATCCCACTGGTTTCTTCAATGTTTTCCTTTTCCTGTAATAACTTCTAATTTTAATATTTTGAAAATAAATATACCTAATTAACAATTGGTCCATGAAAGAAATTGGAAAATTGATGAACTAATTAAGTTGATGAGAAATAGGGCATTTAAAACAAACCTGCGGTAACGAAGAAGCACACCTTTGCCGTCCGAAAAGGTTCTGTATCCTAACGAAGTTGCACACCTTTACCAAGCCAGTCCTTGCGTCTAGAGAAAGATAAATGATTCTTTTTGGTGAGAGAAGTAAAGAGTGAGAGAGAGAGAGAGAGAAAGAGAGAGAGAAAGAGTGATAGAATCAGGGAATTGAAATTCTTACCGTCGATGGATTCTTCCTACAGCAACACCCAAACCAGTTGATGATTTGTGATAAAATAAGAAACGAAAGAACTGAGGGTTTTATAAGAAACAAAAGAATAGAGGGTTTTATGAGTGAAAGCAAGATTAAAGAATAGAAGATTACAGAAGATTAAAGAAAGGAGGAGTGGTTTCGAAACTAAAGAAGAGAATTTTGAAACTAAAGAAAAGTGATAAAAGAAGAAACGAGGAGGAGAAGTTAAAGAAGATTAAAGAATAACAGAGTTTCGAAAATAAAGAGAAAGAGCAAAGTGGTTTTGGGGGGTGGGAGGAAAAGAAAAAAAATACCGTGGGTACCAAAACAATGTCTTTAACCACGGGTCGACCGTTCGACCCGGTAACCGGAACCCTGACCGGTTTGGTCTTTGGGTCGGTTAACGGTTTTGACCGTTTTTATTTTTAAAATTTTTTAAATATTTTTATTTTTTTGTTAGAACGGGCCAACCGTTCAGTTTGAATGGTCGAACCGTTCAACCCAATAATCGGACACCTAACCGGTTCACTCATCGGGTTGGTTTTAAAACCATGATGTTATGTCATTCGAGCATGTGACTCATACGACCCAAAAATGGAACCGTTCTGGCCACCAGTTTTCGGGTTGATGGCTCGACCATCTGGTTCGAACGAATGGCCCGTTCTGATAACAAAAATTAAAATAAATACCGAACGGTCAGACCGTTCGACCCGGTAACTGGATCCCTGACCGGTTCAGTCTCTGAGTCGGTTTTAAAAACCATGATGTTATGTCATTCGAGCAAGTAACTCATACGACCCAAAAATGGAACCGTTATGGCCATCGGTTTTCGAGTTGATGGTTCGACCGTCTGGTTCGAACGGACGGCTCGTTTTGACAACAAAAACTAAAAAAATAAAAAAACAGCCAAAAAACCATTAAACGGGTTGACGGTTCGATCACTCGGGTCAATGGGCCATTGACCGATTCAATGGTTTTTTGCCAGGGACCGGGATTTGGGTAAAATGGAACTGGTTGTCTGGACGGTTCCCAATTAAAAAAAATAAAAAAATCGGACGACCCATTCTGACAACAAAAATTACAAGCAAAAAATTGAGTGTGTGAGGTTCATTAAGCATGTGATTCAAGTGTTATGTCATTCAAGTGTGTGACTCATACGACCTGAAAACAGAATCATTTTGGCCATCGGTTTTCAGGTCAATGGTTCGGCTATTGAGTTCGAACATATGCCCGTTCTAACAACAAAAATTAAAAAAAAATTAACAAAATGAACAAAATGAACAAAAACCATTGAACGGGTCAATGGTTTGACTGCCTAAGTCAATGGGTCATTGACCGATTCAACGATTTTAGCCAAGGACCGAGATTAGGATAAAACAGAACTGGTTGCCTAGATGGTTCCCAATTAAAAAATAAATAAAAAATGGCCAAAAACCATTTTATGGGTCAACAGGACCGTTGGAACGGTTTTGATTGTTTTCTATTTTTTTAATTTTTTTTGTCTGAACGGGTTGACCGTTCGACCCAATAACCAGTCCCCTGACCAGTTCGGTCTCCGGGTTGGTCAACGATTTTGAATGTTTTTTATTTTTTAAATATTTTTATTTTTTTGTTAGAACGAGCCGACCGTTTGACCCGGTAACTGGACCCCTGACCGATTCGGTCTCCGGGTCATTTTTAAAAACCATGATGTTATTTCATTCGAGCATGTGACTCTTACGACCCAAAAATGGAACGGTTTTGGCCATTGGTTTTCAGGTGGATGGTTCAACCATCCGGTTCGAACGGATGGCCCACTCTAACAACAAAAATTAAAAAAAAAATAAAAAACAGCCAAAAACCATTGAACGAGTCAATGGGTTGACGATTCAACCACTCGGGTCAATGGGTCGTTGACCGATTCGATGGTTTTTTGCTAGGACCGGGATTGGGGTAAAGCGGAACTGGTTACCTGGATGGTTCCCAATTGGAAAAAAAATAAAAAAAAAAATCGGGTAACCCGTTTTGAAAACAAAAATTACAGACAAAAATTTGTGTAAGGTCCATTAAGCGGTACCATACGTGTTATGCAATTCGAACGTGTGACTCATACGACCTGAAAATGGAATCGTTCAGGCCATCGAATTTTGGGTCAACGGTTCGACTGTTCGGTTTGAATAGATGGCCCATTGAACGGGTCAATGGTTTCACTACCCAGGTTAATGGGTCATTGACCGATATAACGATCTTTAGCTAGGGATCGAGATTACAATAAAACGGAACTCGTTGCTTGGATGGTTCCCAATTAAAAATTAAAAAAAATGGCCAAAACCATTTTATGGGTCAACGGGTCAATGGTTTGACCGCTCAAATCAATTGTTCAACTCGTTGCTTGTTGGTAACTTCTGCTTCCTGGTGTATTGACTCTAGGGCTTCTACTCATGCATGTAATACATTGTAGAAGTTCAGGACAAGCAGAAGACTGAGTGATGGAGAGGTGATTCTTTACTTGGGGACCTTTGCAAGTGTTGCAGCTATAGCCATAGGAACTGTAGAATTGTATTTCAAAGAAGGAACAATTACATTAAAAGATTGTCTTTATATACCCAAATTGAGAAGAAATTTGATTTTTGTTTCAAAATTGTGTGCGGATGGTTATTCTGTTCTTTTTAGTAATGTGATTACTATCAAAAGAAATAACAAATTCCTCGCATATGGAGAACTTGAGAATGGTCTCTATGTTCTTCATCCTTCTTTGGAAACAAATATAACTGAAACTACATTGAATAATAACCCCAAGAAAAGAACCCGTGATACAATTAATAACACGTGCTTGTGGCATTACCGACTTGTCCACATTAACATAGATCGTATTACAATGTTAGTAAAGGATGGTCCTACGGATTTTCTAACCGTAGAAGATCTTCCAACCTGTGAACCTTGCCTTCAGGGTAAGATGACGAAACGACCATTTAACGGTAAGCCTGAAAGATCGACAGGCACACTTGACTTTATACATACTGATGTATGTGGTCCCATGAATGTTAGGACACGTAACCAGCACATTTATTTCACAACCTTTACCGATGATTACTCACGGTATGATCACGTGTACCTAATGAAACATAAGTCTGAATCTTTTGAAAAGTTCAAAAAATTCAGACATGAAGTCGAGAAACAGTTAGGGAGAAAAATTAAGACCCTTCGATCAGATCGAGGTGGCGAGTATCTCTCTGACGAATTCAGGGACTACTTAAAGGACAATGGGATAGTATCACAACTAGCTCCTCCTGCTACACCACAGTTAAACGGTGTGTCAGAAATGAGGAACCGGACTTTATTGGATATGGTCTGATCACTTCTCTAGTAGATCCGCCCCCTGGGGTAAAAGCAATTGGTTGCGAATGGATCTATAAAAGGAAGAAGGGCCCCGATGGTAAGGTTGAGACCTATAAAACTCGTCTTGTGGCGAAAGGGTACACTCAGAAGGAAGGAATCGATTATAAGGAAACATTTTCGCCTGTGGCTATGCTTAAATCCATTAGGATCTTGCTAGCTGTAGCAACATACCATGATTATGAGATTTGGCAAATGGATGTCAAAACTGCGTTCCTGAATGGAGATCTTACTGAAGACATTTATATGCAGCAACCACAAGGTTTCATAGCTGCAGGTTAGGAACACATGGTATATAAACTAAACCGATCCATATAAGGACTTAAGCAAGCTTCTAGGAGTTGGAACATCCGGTTTGACTCTATCGTCAAATAGTTTAACTTTGAGCAAAATCCGGGTGAGCCCTGTGTTTATAGGAAAACCTATGGGGATAAGGTTACGTTCTTAGTTCTGTATGTAGATGACATTCTACTCATTGGTAATGATATAGGAATGTTGACTACGGTGAAAGTGTGGCTTTCACAGCAATTCTCCATGAAAGATCTTAGAGAAGCCTCCTACATACTGTGTTTTCGACTCTATAAAGATAGACTGAAGAGATAATAGGATTATCCCAGTCTACTTACATTAACAAAATAGTCAAGAGATACAGCATGGAGAACTCCAAGAAATGAAGCATTCCTTTCAGGCATGGAGTCACTCTCTCTAGGGGTATGTCTCCCAAGACTCCCGAAGAGATTGAGGGCATGAAAGAGGTTCCCTATGCCTCAGCTGTAGGGAGCATCATGTATGTCATGTTGTGCACTCGTCCTGGCATTTCTCAGGCAGTGAGTGTGGTAAGCAGATATCATTCTAACCCAGGGCATGAGCATTGGACCGTTGTGAAAAACATACTAAAATACCTTCGAATGCCAAAAGAGTTTTGTCTGGTATTCGATGGTAGTTCACTACAGATCCAAGGGTATACTGATGCTGATTTCCAGTCATATCCAGATGATAGAAAGTCTACATCTGGTTATATCTTCACGATAGGATCGTGTGCTGTTTGCTGGAAAAGCAGCAAACAGGGGTCCACGACGGATTCCACAACCTAAGTCGAATACATTGTCGCAAGTGAAGCTGCCAAAGAAGCCGTATGGATGAAGAAGTTCATTCAGGAATTGGGAGTAGTTCCATCCAACACATCACTCATTCCATTGTTGTATGACAACACTGGAGCCATTGCTCGGGCTAAGGAGCTACGAGCCCACTCGAAGTCGAAGCACATCGAGAGGAAGTACCATGTACTGTGGGAGATAGTTGGAAGAGGGGACGTCCTGATTTAGAAGGTAGTGTCAGCGGAAAATGTAGCAGACCCATTGAATAAGCCACAGACACAGGAAGTGTTTGAGAAACACGTGGAAAGCATGAGACTCCGGCTTATACCCGATTGGACCTAAGTGCAAGTGGGAGTTGTTAGACAGTGTATGCCCTTAGCTCCAACTAGAATGGTGTACATTATGACATTTATTGTAAATGAAACAAATACATATTTGATTCATGTTATTATGGTGTGTTTCTATGTAATACCCTTAAACTGGGCACATATAAGACTCGTGTTAGTTTAGAATCTTCACGGCCGTTGGATAGATCTGGGGAGTTTTATCCTGCCAAGACTGACACTGATGTGCCACCAAGTTGGTTGGAGTGGCTTGTCTCAGCTACCAGGTTGAGACCTAAGGTACATGTAGTGTGGGTTTTCTTGAAATCACGAACCAGACCAAAATTCTAGTATTGCCTTGGACCTTGGAGATAGATGGGCAAAACATAAATGTTACACCTGACTCCTAGACTCGATTATGGTATTGCACTGGGTGTCGGATTGGGTTGTCTTTGATATGCCAATCAGTGATATCCTTAGAGGGGGTCAAAACCTGGGTATGGTGGAACAGTCCAAGAATTCATCTGAGTGGGTGATCATAGTGACAGGATCAGCCCCTTTGTCGGACAAAGTGAATGATCAGGGATGCACTCTCTCTGATGGAAACCAAAATTGTCGGCAGTCAATTTCAACCATTGAAATTTGTTTTGCAAAAGGTTTTAATTCCCGGGATCCATGTGAATAAAGAGTGCAGCACTGTACCTTGTAGCCGAGGGAGAGGTGCTCTCTTGTCGGGCAGTGTTTAATCATTATAGAGCTAAGAGATTAAGTGTAAAACCATTGAGGGTAATACCTAATGGGCTAATCTTGCATCTGCCCACAGTCCTTGGGTTTTTATAAGGTGGCTTGACCCAATGACCATTTAGTGTAAATGTTGGGCCCATTAAGAGCCCATGGTGATGGACTCAAGGGTTCACTGTCTCCTACAGTGAATCTGGCCAGGCCTTGTAACAGAGGATGGGCTGAACCCATGTGGTTGATGTATAGATCAATGTTTGAGTCCCACACCATACAAGGATAACCAACTGAGTAGCAGATTGAGAGGATAAGTGAGCACAAACTTAATGGGCCTAAAGCTCAATTCAAACTGACTTAATAAGATTAATTAAAAGAGGGTGGTTCTGGGATTTGGATCAGCAGATAGGATAAGAAACTATCCCTATCCACTCAAAGAGTCCAGGTCCAAATAAAGATTTGGATCATGAAACTCCTAATTAGATTAGGAAAGTTGATCTTTATCTGCAGATAAGATAAGGGATTATCCTTATCTCTTAAAAAAGAGTTCAGATCCAAATATAAGATTTGGATTAGGAAACTCCTAATGGGATTAGGAGAACCTCTCTTTAAGGCTATAAATAGAAGAGCAGGGTGAACCTCCAAATCATCTAATAGTCTGCTGAATTACAGAGAGAGACAACACAGTTTGACTGCACTATCGTTTGTTGTTATTCTTTCCTGCTCTTTCCGCCCTACCCAGTTCAATCTCCACCGGTGGGAGTGACCAAGAACGATTCTTGATATTGCCCTTTGCTAGAAAAGGCAATCTGAAGTCGTGCTCACCATCCTTCCATCATATTCTTGTTGAAGAATTCGGTTATTGCTGAAGAACCGTCCTACTGATTCTACTTCACCTCACACCGTGTCATCTTCGGTCGAAGTAGTATTTGGTCTTCTCCTTGGGTGTGAACACCTTTTTTGGGGGTTTACTATTACTCCGTATTAGGTATATCCCTCTACTCCCTTTTTGGTTTCAGATCTAGTCTGGTTTGGTTTCAAGATTGAACATTGAAAATGCAGTTTTCTAAAATAGGGAATGCGATTTCCACATGGGAGAGAGAAAAATTTTTGAAATTTCGCCCAACCTTCCTGCAGGGTTCGGCCATCCATATGATGGATCTCTCATCCCTTCAATAGCCTCTATCAATGGATGAATTCCTCTTCCTTCATCCTTTATTAAAATGTCATCAGGTACAAGTACCCAATTTTCATCATCATCTTCATTTAAGGAAATACCTTTTATATTTACATCACCAATGTCAATGACCCATTTTACAAAACAGCAATATTCATGCATGTTTGAATCGAGATTCCTAAGAAGTCCCATTTTAGTTTATAGTATTAAAACTTGGCAATAAGACCATAGTTCAAATCTTTGTTTTATTGCAGAAATAATGTTTGGACGGTGCCCATTTGGAATAACTGGTAAAATTTGACGGAAATCTCCTCTAAGAACTACCATTTTACCTCCAAATGGTTTATTGTCAAGATTTGCATCTATACTTCTCATTAAATCTCACAAAGTTCGATCTAATACCTCCAAAGCATATCGATGTGCCATTGGTGCTTCATCCTAAATTATCAAATTAGTTCTTTGAAGCAATTCAGCTAGTTGGGACTTTTGGCTAATCGCACATGTTGATGTTTCATTTAGGTCAATTAGAAGCTTAAACCTTGAATATGTTGTTCAGTCACCTGGTAATAATAAGACTGCAATTCCAGATATTGCAACTGCAAGAATAATTTTTTGATCTGCTCTAAGCCTTGATATTATTGTGTTCCAAAGAAATGTCTTGCCTGTTCTTCCACTACCATATACAAAGTATAATCCCCCTGAATCAGAGTTGCATGTTTGCATAATTTTCTCATATATAAACATCTGCTCAGCATTTAATTGAGGATACAAAATGTGAAATTGAGAAGTCATAGCATAAGGGTCACAATTCAACTCCTCCCAAAGTAACCGATTTGTAAATGCACCATACGATGTTGTAGGTGAAATTGGCATTCCAGGATCATCTTTAAGAGACTTGCCATTTTTATTCAAAATAAGCTCTATTTCAGATAAAGGCCAACCTTGAAACTCTGTATTAGGGATATGAGCACTTGGATCATGTAATTCTCTCACAACTATTGGGTGCAAGTCATCAGATAAATGCTTCTAATGTTTAACCCATAATTGATTAGGGCTTGAAACTTCATTAAACATTAATATTGAAGAAAATAATTGGCGCAATTGACATGTTGATGCCCAAGTAGAAGCTTCTTCCAATACATAATCTCATTCGTTATCATCATCAAGAAATCCAAGAGCCATACATGCTGCTTTATTTGTATCATATAGGACCCCATCAATAGTATGTAATTCTGCAAAACTCCTACAACCACAGACAACATGAAGCAACATGCGAAGGTAATAATGTTCTCTAGATGTTGGATGAGCATAATATAAGCTCCCAATCGATTTTCCCCTCTTTCGCATAATCCATATTTCCCTATTATCACTCAAAACCCATTGTGTAGGAAATTCAACATATGTTAAACTCATTGCTTCAAGGTATATAGCATTTGCTTCAAACCATGCATTCAACATTGTTCTCTACTCTACAGCACTTGACACAATATTAGGAATAATATCTCTATCATCAAACACAACAACTTGTTGATTTTCTAAATGATATTGTAACCTTTCAATTGGTGGATTTATTTGTTGTAAAGGTAATTCAAAAATTCTCGAGCATGCTTCAGAAGATGAGATATACCTACAATCTAAATATTGTTGTATCTCATTAACAACTTCAAATTGAACATTATCTTGCTGGTTATAAATGACTATAGAAGCCTTATCGAAACCCTTGTGAATGTATTTATAAAAAGTATTTCACAATATAAAAGTGAGCAACAATCTCAACATTGATGTGTGCATTATATTTTCTCGATAACTCTTTATTATATGGAACAACCCAACGATTATCAACTTCGTATCTGCCAACTTTAACATTTTTACCATCATTCCTTCTTCTATAAATAGGATACCCATCTTCATTGACTTGTGTTTCATAACAAAAATCTCTTGAATAATGCTTAAAACACTAGAAGTTAATTGTACATGGTGAATTTGGATTAACTCAACCACATGGCCTATGTATCATGAACTTAACAACAATCTCATATAATAGAGGGTCTTCAACTTCATTAGGAATCTCGGCACACACAATTTTATCTACATTAGAGCTCGTCATAGGTTTTGACTTTGGAGCAAGTGTAATGAAAATATGGGCATGAGGCAATTCCCTTTTCTAAAATTCTATGACATGAATATATATTACAAGAAAAAAATTAGGAGTGGAGTTAAAATTATTGAAAAGAGGGGAAAGGAGAAAAAAATTGAGTCTGAATAAGTTGGCATGTTATTGGACTAACCTTCTATAACTACCCGGAATAGTTGCTTCTTTTTTATATCATGCAACAATTGCTTCAACTTGATTCGAAATACACGTACCACAATATCTAGTCCATCATTTGGCTTTAACCATGGAATATCGGCAATTGCTGTAGTGATCTCAAGCCAATTCAGATTTGTAGTGAAATTTCTAAATAAATCCGAAGGCCCAAGTGCTCAATAAATTGCCATTGCATCTTGGTGATGTTGAATCATGTAACGGGGCCCACAAATAAAGGTTGAAGGTAGGATAAAACATTGTCCTACCCTAGAAGCATTCATATCTCCTGCATCAACTGCATCTTATAATCCTTGAAATAGCTCACTACATAATTGTTTTTTATTTTGCCGAAAGTAGTGAAGTCGATCTTGTTCAATTGCAACATATGAATCAACAAAATATTGTTGGAAGGCTCTACTACCTCGTAAAAGGGTCTTCCCTTCTAATTGACGAGATTGTATTCTATAAGAATAAAACTCTCGAATTGATATTTTTGTTCGACACCAAAACGATGAACTTTTCTCAACTTCCATATCAAACCCCATTCATTTTCACCGAAAGGAAATAACAGAGAGTATTGTAGTGCCATAGAACTTGGATGAGTCTCATCAATCCTTTTCAAGCGGTGATCAATTGTTGAAACTATAACATCTCAATGGTTTGTATGTTCATGACCATCACCAACAATTAGAGTTACGACTTCATCGGATGTTGGTTTGGCATATTGCCTTCTATTCGACCCTCTTTTTTCTAAGATCCAAATTCTCAATTCAAGTTGTGGTTCTGATTCATAAATATCATGAGCAGCTCGAAATATCTTAACATATGGATTAAGTTCATTCAACATCACTTGCAATTGTTGCAATATTGTAGGATTTATGCCACTGCCAAGATGATCTCTAGAGATAATAATCATTCTATTTTCAACCTCATGTTGAGTATCATATATGTATAATTGTGCATATCTTGGCTTTTGTCCATCTTGAGGCAATAGTGATCCAATCCGATGATAGTTAGCACCACTAATTTTAAATCCATATGGTGTTCTTTCATCCATTATACTATAATCCATATTCCCACCCATTGGAGTAAAGAAAACATTGAATTATAGATATGGATTTGATCAGAAAATCATGACGGTGGTGTATCATAGTTACCCTCAAACAGTTCTTGCAACCAAATAGGTGTTTCTGGAAGCAATAGCAACTTTAGTTTGCCATTTTGACAACACATATAAAACTTTGGATGTGAAATATATGTGGTCAATGAATGCTCCTAAATCCACATCTTAGCATAACATTTAGGACAAATTGTTGTAGGGCCACCAAAGTCCCATCTTTCAGTGAAGGTAACTCTTGATCTTTGAAAATGACGAAGAACACTACCTAAAAAGTAGATTTCCTATAAATTCATATAACTATGAATAACAATTGAAAAAGTAAATGATTGCATAAGCAATCATATGGAAAAAGAGTAATGACAAAAAATTCAGAGGCTTACTGTCCATGGGATCCAGAGTTTGTATAGTAGGTGATGGAGTATTATTTAAGCTAGGTTGTCTAATGGTGTTATTAGAACTTTTTATCTTGGAGCTCTAATCTTCGACTTGCCAAATTAGCATACTAAAGAAGAGGATTGAGCCTTGTGAAATCGGTGACAATTTTCATCAAATCTGGTGATGTTCTATCCAAAGTAAAATAAATAGGGTATAAGATAGTAAATAGAAGCCTATCCAAAGATGTGGATTTTACCATTGCATGGTGTTTGCGTGGTGCTAGTTACTACACCATTATCATGGGCAAGTTCACTAATATAGGAATTAAACCTAGTTTGATGCAAACGTGACCTTCTTTCTCGTAAGATGGCAGCCCTAAGGCGCTGACTCTGGCTTATAGAATCTGGTAATACCATCACAACAATTAATAAGAAGAAATTTACTATACAAGATATCGTTGTTAAATGAAAAAATTGGTAGATAAGTATCTTACCATGTGGGATTTCAAATGATACTACACCATTATCATGGGCATGTTCACTAATATAGGAATTAAACCTAGTTTGATGCAAACGTGGCCTTCTTTCTCGTAAGATGGCAGCCCTAAGGCGCTGACTCTGCCTTATAGAATCTGGTAATACCATCACAACAATTAATAAGAAGAAATTTACTATACAAGATATCGTTGTTAAATGAAAAAATTGGTAGATAAGTATCTTACCATGTGGGATTTCAAATGATGGTTGTGTATCAGCAACATACAACCGTCTATGTTGTAATATGCAATATTTAGCTTCTCTTGCAAGGTGTTGCAAATGTTGAATCCTTAGTTGTCCTATTCATAATCTCTATACTTAGAATAAGTCCAAGAAACAAGCTATTTATAGGTGATAGGCATGGAGGGATAACAATGAAAGAATAAAATTCTTTTTGACACCCATACTTAATAAATTATTATAAGGTCTATCACTCTAAATGATTATGGGAAGTGCAGAGGCACTTGTTGACTTTTTAAGTTGACAACTTTGCATTTCTTGAGGTGTTGATGGAGGAGTAGAAGACGAAAAAGGGAATCCATATTCCTCCATATAAGACTTCGGAATAGAATTATCAAGGATAAGACTATCCACAAAAATAGTCTATATATTAGGAGAGTCTATCAATCATTAGAGGCTATTAGTACAAAGAATAACATATATAAATAAGAAATAAGATTTCTGGTTATTCTATAAACTTAGAATTTTGTAAAGACTCAAGATAGAATTACTTAATGGAGCTACTGTGCTTGAGTATTGCTTATAGAGATTGAATGGTTGATTTTTTTATTCTATAAGTAAGAGTAGCAAAAAATGATTAGTGAGCATTAAAGTATAAAGTAAGCAATGGATACAAATAGAAAACAAGAAGACATTGATAAATTAATTGGGTAATGCCATAACTAATACACCTTGCAAATACAAAATAAAAAATACTTGAAAAATTATGGGTTTAGTTGTATTTTCTTGATTTCTTCATTGCAATGTGGGCTAATCCATCCCTCAACCCTAAAGGTAGTAGGATTTAATTAGGCCAAGTCTCTACCACAAGAAGTTAGAGTTCCTATCGACCAACTAAGCCAAATCCACAAAGTTCTTGATTTCGAAGAAAGTTGGTTGCATCAAAGCTTAGACTCTAAGGATGGGTCTTACGGTTACTGATTAATTGGGTGAGTTTAATGGTTAAATTTTTGGCTTATCAGGAGGATGATGACCCTCTCCCATCTTTGTTCTATTCTATCCTTCACGTGTCAGACCCTGATCCTCTGCATGCCACTACAGTACTATTCACCTTCAAGAAGAAGGCAAGGAGTGGCTTTCTCTCATCTTTCAAGAAGACGGCCAGCCAAATGGACTATCTATCATTGAAGAGACACCTGGATTAAATTTTGATGGCTTCTACCTTAGCAAGAGTACTCAAGAGTTCTTTATTTCTAGACAAATAAATAAGTCTCTATTTCCAGTATTATGTTTCCAATGTCCTGTATTTTTTTTTTATTTGTAGAATTATTGTTTTTGATGTCCTGCACAATTTACTAAATTATAGTGTAATTGATGGTAATATCAACATCCTCCCAATTAAACTTGGAAAGAAATAAGATTTTTGGTTATGTTATAAACCTAGAATTTTGTAAAGAATCAATATAAAAAGTACATAATGGAACTGCTATGCTTGAGTGTTGCTTACAAAGATTGAATGCTTGATTCTTTTATTCTATCAGTAAGAGAAGCAAAAATAAAAAAAAAAGATTAATGTTCATTAAAATAAGCAATGGATAGAACATTTCAAACCTTAAAAAAATAGGCGTTCAATCCATACATAACATCCCACATCAAAGAAACATTTCAGACATAACATCCTACCTCAAAAAAACATTTCAGACTTTCAAAAATCTATTCATACAAAAAGCATTTATGACATAAGAAGCACTCCTTCATGCAACACCACACACACCAACCAACAAAAGGTGTCAATCTGGAAAAAAAAATAACTGTCATGATATATTAGGTGTTCAATCCATACATAACATCCCACCTCAAAAAAACATTTCAGACATAACATCCTACCTCAAAAAAACATTTCAGACTTTCAAAAATCTATTCATACAAAAAGCATTTA